ATGATGGAGAATCTAAAAGTCTGAGCTGAATTAAGGGACGAGTTGGCTGAGCATGTGAGTATAAATCAAAACTGAACTGTGGCCACACTATGGCCTCCTTCTTCCCTGGTGGCCTTGAAAAATAAGAGTGAAGAGAATTCCCCCCAATGAGCAGAGCTTTCATCATTTTACCTGATCGTCCACTTTGTAGAAAAAAAATAGCCTGAAGGGAAAATATATTTTGACTCAAAGGTAGTGGTTAATGGCTTGGCTAGTTGGACAGGGACTGGTAGAAGATTAGAATGTTGAGGCAAAGACATATGTGGAAGATACAAGAAGATGAACCTGTGCAAGTGGACATGAAGTGTGAAGATCTTATATCACTGACCAGAAAGCATCCACCATGAAGAGGTATTAAACACCCAAGAAAATAAAATGGCCAAGCCAGTTGACCTTACCCTCCCTATAACACGGTGGCTCCAATGCTGGCACAAGGGCGTATCATGGAGTAGCCATGGTGGCAAGAACAAAGCTTAGGTGTTGCGATCCAACTTCTACCTCTCCCCAGTCTTGCTCCTCTCATTCCTTCACCACTGTTTCTGAGAGCACTCCTCAGTGAACTTCCTGCAACCAAATTACCTTCCCAGTGACAGTTTCTTGGGTTATCTGGGCCAACGCAATGCTCTTCTGTTCTCTCTTCCTTCGTCTCTCCTTTTCTCCTGCCCTTCCTTCCTTCTTGAGTGTGGTACCACATCTCTAGTCTATGAGAAATGGAAGGCCACTGGGAAATGTGTAGTCTGTGTCCAGCAGCTACTGTTATCAACTGCTAGGTGATACCATGCTAGGAGAAAATATTTCTTCTCTCAGAGCAGGCCTGGGCAAACATTTTTCTGTAGAGTTAGGAAGTAAATATTTAATCTTTGCAGACCATATAGTCTTGTTACCATGGTTCAGTTCTGCTATTTTAGTACAAAAGAATCCACAGACAATATGTAAGCAAGTAATCTAGGTTGTTTTATACACACACACACAAAGAAAGAAAGAAAGGTTTATTTACAAAAACAGGCATTAGGTCAGATTTGGTCCATTAACCACACACTTGTTTGAAAGCATCAGAGATAGAGTGGAAGCATTAGTGCCTTGTGGGGGCTGGTTGTGGAAGTGCATGCCACATCTAAAATACAAGTCCTGGAAGGTTCTGTACCTATTATTAGACAAAGGCTTTTTTACCACACCCTTGACTTTTTATTGTTTCTGCCCTCACTCAAGTCATCTGACCAGCAAACATCTCTTCTTGGTTGTAGAGGAAATCAGGATGTTTCTAATGTGGCTCAGCCTATGACTTAGAGCAGCCTAATTCCACCACTGATCAAACACACAAAAACCACAAAGCCCCTGTTTTCACAATATCGAAGTTATGAACAGGAACAGCTGTGAGGTATGGACAAGAAGGTCATGCCTTGTCAGTCCATGCTTTGCTTCACTTCTCTTAAATCTTTTGAAAATATAATCAGAGACATGGCAAAAAAAATCCCTCTGCCATCCTTTCTGCTTTCTTCCTGGTTCCCTTCCCACACTCATCTAAGTCACCACTGTATGTATCTTCCCAGTGCATCTTCATTTTTCTTGGTTTCAGTTAACCTGGCTATTGTACTTCATATTCACTACTTCTAACATAAGGGAATCTCCATTCTTATTATTACCAAGACTTCATTTTAAATTTACAATTTGGAAGTGCTTTTTCACTTAATCTAACGAGGGATTCGAATGTAAATGAGATCTAAATAAACACCTGTACAGCCAAAAATGCATCTGTTGAAAGTAAATTTTTAAGTTGTTATATTCATAGGTCATGTCTACATGAAAACAACAAGATCATTTGATTATTTATACTTTGGGAGAAAACTACTTAGTTCTGGATAGGTAGAGGATCTATCTGAGAAAATGCTATACAATTGAATAGTTACAGCACAGAGAGCCACAGGGTCACCGGCTCAAGAGACAGGTTCAAACACTGAAGTGAAATGAATCAACAATGGAAAAGAAGAGAGGCAGTGGATCAAGATGACTGTCCAGATGGATAAAGAACATAGGTGATGTGGGTTCCACCTGAGCACTGAGTTCAGAGTCTAGGCAGCAGTCAGGAAAGTAGTTGCATGTACAAAGTCTTTTGTTAAAAGATGTCTTTGAAAGAGAAAAATCATGCCAGCTACTTGTATCTTAGTCTGGGTCTAAGACTAAGATCTACAGACTTGAGGGCAACTAGTTACTGAATATAGAATGTTTTTGCTTAGACTACATTTCCTAAAGTTAGTTAATTTACTTACTATGCATACAAAAAGTCCAAAATAAAGAATAGAGTTCACAGATATTATTTATATGTTTTCAATTGTAAAGTTGTCTTCTCTAAATTTCTATTTAAAATACCCTGAATCATAGTCTAGTTCTGAGAAATTTAAAAAAGAATGAGTTGAATGAACTAAAGAGGACGATTTCCAAAAAAGCCTGTAAGAGGTGATGCGCTGGGTCAGGAAATCCCTGCAGTGATTCAGACAGGACTGGCCAAGACCGAAAGAGAAAAATAAGTGATATATTTCACCCAAGGAAAGGTGATGCACTAGGATGATGGAACAAACTGAACTAAAGTGGTCAGAGGTTTTTTGTTTGTTTGGCATTTACAAGCACAAATGATTTGAAGTGTTATATAAAATGTCTCCTTGCCCAAGGAAGGTTTTGCTGGGACTGTGTTAGAGGAATAACTTAGTAACCAATCAATAAAAAATTGCCATATCTATAATAAATTGCTAGATGTGAAAACTGTATTGTATATTATTATTATAGATAGGTATAAACTTGAATATGAGATTTTTTAATGTCTAATTTCTTTTCCAGGCTCTATACAGGATCAGGCAAAAGGTTTACAGTTGTTTATATGGAGAATAATACATTAATAAATAATAATGCAAGAATAAACTGTGTTCCAAGTACCCACAACTATAAACCTACTTTTGCCTCACCCTGTACACATGCTTACATTAAAAAGAGAAAAGAATGATGAATCATTCCAAGATCAAAGTATATTAATTGAATTTAATTTCATTCGTGCTTCCAGGATCGAGTTGATTTATTGTTCTATTCTCAGAAACACCAGTGCACTGGCACTTGTCGAGTACAAAGAATATGAAAACTATTTAAAGAGTTTCACTTTGTTCATATTTGACAACTCAGAAAAAAATATTTTCTATAGAATCTCAAAAGCATTCATGTATTGCACAAATCTGATAACAAAAATTTCACACAAAGTTCTGTTACACAAAAAGTAGAGTTGGCCTTCCAAAACTAATTCATGGATCTTTTTATCTGGAAGTTGCTGTCTTTGTGGAGATTAGATAATAAATCAAGCCTCCTCTAATTTCTGGTCTTGATGACATAAAATTGGATTTGGAAGGCATTTCCAGATTTTAAATATGCAGCCACATCAAAAAGGGGAAAAGAAACAAGACAAATTAATTTTAATAATGCATGATATTTAATGTAACATATAGAATATTATCATTTGAATATTTTATCAGTATAAAAATTACTAATAATATATTTTATGTCCTATATTTCATACCAAAACTTCAAAGTTGATTACACATTTTAGATTTACAGTACATCTCAATTTGGGTGCTTAGTTTTTATTGAAACTGTCTCATCTGTATTTTGAGTTTCTAAAATCATAGTAGCAAAAATAGATTTAGATGTTCAATACATTTCAAACATACAAAGAACATAATGTTTTTAACAGTTTTCCCAATGGTTTTGATATTCCTAATCCTTGCATGACATTTGGTCTGATCCAAACATCCACAGAACCATCTGGTAGTTGGTCCTGTACCAAATGTCCACAGAGACCGTTGGTCCACACTGACCCACCCACCTCACCAGCTGTGCTGTTGCCAGAAAGACAGCCAAGTCAAGAAGGGTTATTAGTAGCAATACAACCTCAACACAATCGTTAGATCAATAAGACATGATAACATTTTTATGTATGAATTCTGTAAACCAAAAGTACAAATAATCTCAAATGTCATTGAACCCAGGGCCATTTTCTAAGCATGACTGTTTTGGACAGGACCAGATACCTACTAATGGAGCTAACATTTTTAATAGTTTTTGTAATACTGAACCAAGTACAAATAATAATTTTCATATAGTTCTCCACATTAACAAAAATGGTTTGTCTTTTTTAGAATTAAATTTACTAAAACAAAAGCACATCAGTTTCAAATAAATCTATTCAAGCAAGTGAAATAAGTTTTGTGTCAACTCAGTATTATTAACATGGAACTTAAAAAAGAATTCATTGTAAAGCAACTGTAACTATATTAATGTCAGTGAAATTTTCTTCAAATGTTTCTTGTACTATGTGCGAATTTACATAACTCTATTAATTACAACTGAAACTATTTTGCATTCATGTTAGAAAAATGTGTGACATAATTATTATTGATTTGTATAATGGAAAGTTTTAATTTCAACGGAAGTTTCATACCTGTCAAGCAACATCACTAATAAGCTTTGCTTTTCCTTTGGGGTTTCAAACTAATCTCATTTATATGCAGTGCATACTGGAGAAAAACTGAAAATCATATTCTTATTTTGTCTTTGATTACTGAACATTTACCAAACATTCCTTCTGTTTAAAAAAAACCTGGAGTAACAATATAGTCCATTTTTATTAAACTATTCCATAACCAAATCAACAATCATTAGTGACAACATAAAATCAGGCCATGGATAAAGTGCTTCCCAGACAAGGTCAAGTTAAAGGAGTTCATCATCACCAAGCCCTTATTATATGAAATGTTAATGGGACTTATCTAAGAAAAAGAAGTGATGCAGACACCGCCCCACAGTGTCCACGTCATTATGGATAAAATGAGACATTCACATGGACTACCAAGTCCGGTGGAGGACAAGGGACAGCACAGATTTTCTCTCAAGGGGAACAAAAGCCGCAGCCCTTGCCAGGACCGGCTTTTATTGGGTTTCTCAGCACATTACATGATGCTCCTCATTTACTATGCACAGGTTTGCTTTAGGTGGTTATCTTTTACAGAAAATAAAGGAGAGGATGCTGGTAATCACACCAGGGAAGAGGGATATTTGCAAATGAAAAGGCAAGAGTGGTCCAAAGGGTTACACTGGTCCTTGGAAGGTTTAGCATGCTTTTTAGGAAGTGACTTTGCAGTAATGTTTGCCACAAATCCCAGTGAGGGAGTTTTTAGCAAAAAGCAAGACTCAAAGGGGCCTAGGTACATAGCAGGCCTGATTCCCCACGGGAGAACCTATCCATGGGCATGGGTCCTGTACATCTCCCAGTGGGAGCTGGGCCCACGCCACGCTGAATGTCTCCTACAAAGAAGATCAAAAATACAAACAGTTAAATGACAATAACTCACAACTATCAACAACCAAACCTAAAAAAAAGAAAAACTAAGCAAACAACTAGAATAGGAACAGATTCACAGAACTAGAGATCACATGGAGGGTCATCAGCAGGAATAGGGAAGAAGGAGAATGGGGGAAAAGGCACAGGGAATGAGAAGCATAAATGGTAGGTACAAAATAGAGGAAGGTTAAGAATAGTATGGGAAATGGAGAAGCCAGAGAACTCATATGTATGACCCACAGACAGGAACTAAGGTAGGGGAATGATGGTGGGAGGGGGGTGCAGGGCAGAGGGGAATGAAGAGGAGAAAAAAATAGGATGACTAATAGCATAATCAATAAAACACATTTTAAAAATGTAGAACTAATCCTATTATAAGGGCCCTCAGAACCTCATGTAAACTTAATTACCTCCCCAAGGCCCCATCTCCAAATACCGAACTGAGGGAAGGTAACCAAACTGAATCTAGTGTGGTTTTATTTGTCCTGTGAACATGAGCCCTCATGTGTATGCGTCTATGCCTGAAGAGCTTTAATGACATGGAATAATCTAGATCAACAGTTGGTGCACTAAATTAAAGAGTACACTGCTTTCTATTTCCAAACATCTCCATAAATAATTTATCTGTTTGAGTCATTTAATGCTAAGAATTACTAGATTCTGGTTTTTGGAATTATACTAATATAATCTAAAGTAATGTGTACTGTGAATTATTTACAATTTACAACCTTGTGCAATAACAAATGCCTGAACTAAATAGATTTCTCACCAGGGGAAATTCTGTAGAAACCACCGGAGGCCCCACGTTTGTAACTCCTCCAAGATTAGTTTCGATCTGAATTATGTTCATCTTGCTTGGAGTGCTCTCCTCCAAAACTGAGTTGTGTAGATGAAAAAAAAAGAAGCTAAATAAATACTAATATTCTGCCCAGAGAAACTTCTGTTTGGGAAATTAAATTTCCCAACACTACTGGTATTTTATCTTGAGCAGTAAGCACTTCAAAGTTTTAATTTTTATTTTCAACATATAGATTGATTTTCACCTTGATTTTAACCACATGTTGAAAAATAATTTTCATTATTAGAAACCCTTGGTATCATGTCTTATTTTTTTTTAAGTTGTAAAATGTAAAAAATAATTTTCAAATAATTTAATTAGAATTTATGTTATTGTTTTCTTTACCAAGGCAAACCCACTTCCTTGTTCTTTATACTGCTCTGCAATTCTGTGAATGTATAATGTCTGTTCACATTACCATGGTGCCAAAGCAGTTTGGACCTCACTTAATTTTTTAAATTATACTAGGAAAAAGAATTCTAGAGCAAATATGAACAATTTCCTATGGTTGTTTAATACTAGGAAGTCTGTCAAGATACTTGTAAAACTTTCATGTTACATAGTTTTACAGTATATACTGTAAGTAGATCTACATTTCAATATATGAAATCATTCGTGTGGCTTTGGAAGAAATATATTTTAATAACAAATCTCTAAAGCGTATCATAGTAAGAAAAAAATGATACAAAGTTAGAATACAATTCACATCAAGCAAACTATAGTTCATGGGCCAAATCTGTTTGCTGTCTGATTTTTGAATGGCTTATGAGCTAAAAACATTTTAGCTCATAATATTTACATAAATATTTGCATTTTTAAACAATTAAAAAATATCAAAATAATATTATTTTGTGAAGTGAAAACTATACAAACTTCAAGCTTCAATGTCCAAAAATAAAGTTTTATTGGAACATGGCTAAATCAACTCATTTACATATTGTCTACAAACGCTTCTGTGCTATATGAACAGAATTGAGTAGCTGTAACAGAGATTGTATAGACCTTAAAGTCTAAAATATTTATTTTCTGGTTCATAACAAAAAAAGTTTATTGATCCCAGAGTTAAATACAGACTATGATACATGAGGATTTTTTGTAAAAATATGGTTAAATAATGTCATTTGATGATGTGGAGTCAAATATTTTTGCGCTTAGAAATATAATTGTCCCTACACTTAGAAAAATGTTTCAATATGGAAAAAATAATATTTTTGTAATATCTCATATTCATTTTCTTGTTAGTTTAGTTAACTGTGATTATTATCCTGGATACCTGCCAAATTAAAAATTAACTTTATTGTCAGTGGGTTTAACCAAATTCACTATGACAAAATGTATTTAGAATCTTGTGAATGATGTCACAGCAGGTTGATTAAACTATTTACTTACTTAAATGGGCCATTTAATTAAATAGTGAACAACCATAAAAAAAGTGATGATCCTTTAAAGTTATTTATACACAGATTTGTGTAAGAGAAATGTAAAATAAATATACTCTTATATATGGGTTGGCAATTTGATTTTTCCAAAGCATAAAAACAATAACTGGAAAATGCCCATTTTTGCCTTTCTCTGAATCTAACTTGTTTAATTTATAGCAAGTTACATTTTAAGAAACAAGAGCAATCTAAGTCATAATATTTGCTTAAGAATTAGAGCATTCTAATTATATATTAATAGAAACAAGCTATTAAAATAAACTTTTAATTTAATAGTGTTTTTAAGAACTACAAACATATATTCAAGTTTACAACCATGAAGCTGTATTATTAGCTGGAAAAACTATAGTCACATTTGCAGATTCAAACTAGACAAGGATGCCTGAATTAACAAGAAAAAGATTAAGAGGAGAGATCATTTAAATTGTCTCAATCCCTTTTATGTTTCTTTCCAAATTTACTTTATCTGAAAGAAAAGATCATCTAGAAATGTTTTATAAAAATGCTCCCTACTTTGCTAATGTAAAAATAATCACAAAAAGACTTTGATACAGTTAACTTGGGGAGATTTTATATGGATTATGATATGCACAAAGTACTATCTAACTTTAGTCATTTGCATGATTCAGTGGAAATTGATCAGCACTTAATGCACTAGTCTGAAAACTTAAGTGACCCATTCACTGGGTATATGGACAAAAGAGAAAACAAACAAATAAAAATCACCAAGTCCCCCAGGATGCAAAGTTCTCAGATGTCTCAGCTTCTTTCTTCTTGAAATACATGGCACTGAAAAAGAGAAATGTTTAGGTCCCTCCCAGGCAGTCACAGTCCAACCCAAGTTCTCATCTGTCCCTTTGTGAAGTGAACAGAGGAGCAGTCAGTGTTGGGTCTCCAGGTGTCATCCTAACAGCAGATGTGTAACATGCCAACAACAGCAGCCTCACTCTGACCCTTGGGCTCAGATCTTTTAATAACAAGACACTCCTGTCCAGAGAAAAGCCAGCCTCTCCCTCCCTGATTCCTGTTCCCTCAAGGCATGACTTCCTAGGAAGCTAATCTTTCCTTTGGTTATAGCCTCCTTGGAGCCAAGCAGAGGAGGTACATGGAATGTATGTGTGTGTGGAATGTGGGGAAGGGGTGGGAAATCTAATTACTTTTGGTTCAACTTTTCTATGACTTAGGAACACCAGGTTGATGACTTATCTGTGTAACTCCGAATGGTGAAAAGTTATCATTCGATTCATGGTATGTTCGTGACTAAAAGTAAAAACTGACTAATTTTCTGGACCCCAAATATAAATATGGATTTGGTTTTATTTTCAAGAGCAGAAAATCATCTTCAAAGGAAAAATCCCCAATTTTCTTTTTTTCTTTTATTTATTTTTCATAACTACAAGACAAGCTAATCACAAAACAATTCAAATATCTTCCATAATACAAAAGCTGTACTTTCAAAAACTATTAAAGGGTGTATTCTATGTGGAATTGAATAACCAGAACTTTTAGAAAAAAACGCTAAATTCAGGCAACTGTAAAAACATTTCAGTCAAACAACCGACTATTCAGTGAAATATCCTTGATCTGCCTTATTTTCTCAATTGTTAGTGCATAAAGACAAGGAGTGTGCATGGACACTGGCTTTTAGACAGAGTTCCATCTGGGGAGGGATTTCTGCCCTCCTATTTATTATGCATCTATTCTGTGCTAGGAACTATGCTCCTTACTTTAAAGATCTAAGATCTATGTTTATTTTAAAAGGTTACTAAGCAGAAGCCGCGACCTGCAGTGCCTGGCCTACAGTGGGTGCTCACTGCTATTTGTGAAATGAATGACTGTGTGGTTAAACGGGTGTTCAAGAAACAAAACCTCTCTTCTACCATAATAATTTAATTTTACTGTGTTATTTTCATTCTAGGAATGAAAGATATGAGAATTAAATGGTTTTACTTTTGGATTATGTCTTAAAAATTACAAAGGGCATTTTTAAAAATATTAAATCTATTATGAGTCAGTGAAAATATCTATATATAAGAAACTGGGTGAAAATGAGGAAGGGATTAAAAAGTTCAAATTGGCAGTTACAGAACAGTCACATGATGTAAATTACAGCATAGGGAATATAGTCAATAACATTGTTATAACTATGTCTGGGGCCAGGTGGGTACTTGAAATATCAGGGGGACCACTCTGTAAAGTACCAGATTGTCTAACCACTCTGCTGTATATCTGTATCTGATACAGAATAACATTGGGTGAAAGCTGTAATTTTAAATAATATTTAAAAAGAAAGTATTTTATATTTAATATTGGAATTACATGTAGTTCCAATTACATGTAAATTCCAATTATATGTAAATATACGCAGTAAATATCACCACCAGTAAGCTCCTCCTTGACAACATGTGGATCCTAACAATTTAACTCTCAGAATCCAAGTAAAAATTTACTGAAATGCAACGAAATGTTCAAAATTGTCAACTACTATAAGATGAAATTTTATAAATAATGCAATTATGAAATGGTTTATAATTTAAAAACTGATCGTTTTAATTATGATTTTGAGATGCTCAGACTTTCTTTGAAAGCACATTTGGGGGGACCAGTTAAACAATAACTAATCATAGTAATACATGTGTTCCTTCAGCTCCTTTTTCTTTTACTGAAGACACCAAGTTTACTAAATTAAGCAACTCATAATCAGAGACAGTCAAGTCTCACTTAACTCCATAACCTGGAAAACCTCTGCATAGATTCACAGAAGGATGGATGTAACAGAATCAGGTACACTTACTTAATGTGCTACAATTTTGCTTCAATTGAATTTATTTTTTAGATTCTTTAATGTTATTTAGTCCTTTCTATCAATATATCTTAACTGCTGAAGTATTTTTAAGATCAGTTTTTTTTGGAAACTGATTCTGAAAATCATTGTTTCATAAGATGGCAAGTTCAATAGTCTCATGTTGATGGACGAAAGTCATGAACTCAAAAGCACTATTTAAAACATAGCATTATGCTAAGTGAAATAAGCCAGGCAGTGAAAGGCAAATACCACATGATCTCACCTTTAACAAGAACCTAAACAACAAAACTATCAAACAAGCAAAATATAACTAAAGACACTGAACTAGAGAACAGGCTGACAGTGACCAGAGGGGAGAGGGGAGGGATATAGGGGGAAAGGGGAAGGGTTTGCAGGAACAAGTACAAAGGACACATGGACAAAAACTAGGGGGGTGGAAATGGGAGGGAAGGGGCAGGGTGAGGTGGGTGAGCTGGCATGAGAGTAAAAGACAGAAAACTGTACTCGAACAACAGCTCTGGCCAAGATGGAGGTGTAGGTGGAAACACTGTACCTCCTCGCACAACCAAGTTTATGAACAACAAAGATTTAGAAACCAGAGCACAACCAGAACAGAAAGAAAATTGAACTGTACCAAAGTCTGACAACAACAAACCATTCATCCAGACCGGTAAGAGGGGCGGACTTGGCCGCTGGTGGAGAGGGGTCACAGCAGGAAAAATCGGCCAGACTGACCGAGGCGCGCAGGTGGCGGTTGGCAGATCCCAGGTGTGGGATGGCAACTGGCGGACACAGTAAGGGTGCAAGGTGGCTGGCTGACTGCAGTCACACATTTGTGCACAGATAAACCAGGTGAAAAAAAGGCCAGTGAGACAGACCACGCAACCCAGGGCCCCAGTGCCAGGAAATAAAGCCTAATAGCACCAATTGGAAAAACTTTCGGGGGTTGAGGTGCTGGGAGAGGTTCCCAGGCTCACAGAAAGTTCCTTTGAGAGACCCACAGTGTCCTGGAGGGTGCACAGGGCCACACACCCGAGAGCTGGTACCAGAAGGGCCCAATTTGGTTGCGGAAAGCAACAGAGGGGACTGAAATCCAAAAAAGGGCAGAACAAATGCCATTGCCCCTATCTGACCCCACCCCTACAGACAACATCACAACCCAGTGACCTGGGCTGCCCCACCCTGGTGTATATCTAAGGCTCTGCACCTCATACTTAACAGGTGCAAATAGACCAAAACATTATGGCTCAAGAACAGCTCAAAGCCCCAGAGCCGATAAATCTAAGTGACCAAGAGATAGCTAACCTTTCAGACGCACAGTTCAAAATACTGGTGATCAGGATACTCACAGAATTGAGTCACAAATTAGAGAAACAAACGAAGGCTAAACTAATTGAAATGAAGGGAAATGCACAGGAAACCAATAGTGATGGAAAGGAAACTGGGACTCAAATCAATGAAGTGGACCAGAAGAAGGAAAAAATGACCAAACAGAAAAGGATGAAGAAACAAGAATTCAAAAAAATGAGGGGAGGCTTAGGAACCTCCAGGACAGTTTTAAATGCTCCAAGATCCGAATTATAAGAGTACCAGAAGGGGAAGAGGAACAGCCATGAATGGAAAAATTATTTGAACAAATAATAAAGAAGAACTTCCCCATTCTGGCAAAGAAAATAGACTTCTAGGAAATCCAGGAAGCTCAGAGAGTCCCAAAGAAGGTGGACCCACGGAGGAACACACCAAGGCACATCATAATTACATTAGCCAAGATTAAAATGAAGGAGAGAATCCTAGAAGCAGCAAGAGATAAGGGGACAGTCACTTATAAAGCAGTTCCCATCAGACTGTCAGCTGATTTCTCAAAAGAGACCTTACAGGCAAGAAGGGGCTGGAAAGAAGTATTCCAAGTCATGAAATGCGAGGACCTACACTCCAGATTGCTCTATCCAGCAAAGCTTTCATTTAGAATGGAAGGGCAGATACAGTGCTTCTCAGATAAGATCAAATTCAAGGAGTTCATCATCACCAAGCCCTTACTATATGAAATATTAAAGGGACTTATAAAAGAAAAAGAAGATAAAAATGATGAACAGTGAAAGGACAGCAAACTCACAGTTATTAAGAACCACACCTAAAACAAAAGCAAACTAAGAGGACAGCTAGATCAGGAGCAGAACCATAGAAATGGAGATCACATGGAGGGTTAGCAACTGGGGAGTAGGAGGAGGAGAAGAGGGGAGAAGGTATAGAGAATAAGTATCATGGATGATAGGTAGAAAATAGATAGGGGGAGGGCAAGAATAGTATGGGAAATATAGAATCTAAAGAACTTGTGACACATGGACATGAACTAAATGGGGGAATGGTGGGGGAGGGGGTGTGCAGGGTGGAGGAGAATGAAGGGGGAAAATAGAACAACTGTGATGGCATAATCAATAAAATATATTTTTCCCTGTGCTGTACTTTATTTTATTTTTTTTATTTTTTATTTTTTATTGATTATGCTGTTATAGTTGTTCTAATCCCCCTTTCATTCCCCTCCACCCTATCCCCCCATCCCCACCATTACCCCCATTTAGTTTATGACCATGTGTCTCAAGTCCTTTAGATTCTATATTTCCCATGCTATTCTTGCCCCCCCTTCTATTTTCTATCTACTGTCTATGCTACTTATCAATAAAATATATTTTAAAAAGAAAACTGTACTTGAACAATTGGAATAAAATAAAACATAATTTAACATTAAAATATTTTAGTATGAGATGATTGAGTTGAATTTGCAAAGAATTTAAAGTTCCCTATGTTAAGATACTGAGAAAATTCTAAGATACTTTATATTTGTTTCTAAGACTCATAAACACACATATCATGCCATTCTCACACTGAGAGAACCAGAGAGAGCAAATAGCAGCAGAAAGCTGTAAAAGTACTATTTAAAAGTTCATGTGATACCTTCTCAAAAAATACATTATTCAAAGGAAAATGGACAGGGAAACTTGTTCATTTTAATTTTCCTCCTCTAAACATGCTCTGAAA